GTATAAGACAGGTGTCCCCTTAAAATTCTCCGAGTCCTACGTTTGGCACCTGGCTGTGGCAGGGTGTGCCCAGCTTTAGGAGATCAATTCAACTCAACTGCTGACATGGGTCCACACCTATTCTAGCTCACTGAAATTTCTTTGCTGTTTCTCAACCACACGTTCATTTCAATCCAACAATCTTAACCACCGTTTCCTTCCTCTCTATATATACCCTTCAACCACTTCACAATCTTCCAAATGCAAGCAAATTATATATCACTTCTCAATTTGCATTGCGAATCTGATTTAGATTCGGAGCCTAAATCTTTCTTGTCTTTGCATATTCTATAAACATGCTAGACTTGTCCTGGTTTTGTTTATTGTTGTTGGGATCTTGGTGTTGCAAGCGGTGGCTGAGAAGTCTGAGGTGAACCCATCTGTAGTCAAGTCTCAGAGCGAGGATGAACCAGCTGGAATATCAGATCAACCTGCTTCAAGTCCCTCAAGTCATCATCTGATGAGTCTACAGCAGCTGAGCTCCGGAGATCAGACGGTGGGAAAGCATCATTCATCTGATAAGTCAGTGGCTGGTGGCGGAGTCATCATTGGGGCTTGTCACTGCTATTTTGCGCCTGTTTTTTGCTACATCAGAGTAACTAGAAGAAAAATGGTGCTAGTGACCAATCTTGGTGATTCTTTTGGATATTTTCTTTTCCCTCTTCTTGCGTAGGGTGGGATGATTTTGATACGAAATTATAATGTGATCTGAGAAATTAGCAGAGATTTTTTATACCTTAATTAATGTGAATATTAGATTGAAATTTCTATATAGTAAATATTATTTGTCTGCATTTTGTTCTTTGCTGTCCTCTCTCCTGCCCCCGCGTTTAAAAATGAAAATCTGGGAGATGGTATAAAGTTAATGTATAATGGTATCATGAATTGTCCCCCCCCAAAAAAAAAAAAAACTCTTCATGATTAAGCTTTAGGTGCCTACTCTGTAATCTTGATAACTAACTGTAATATTGTTCCTCTTGTAGCAAAAACGAACTGATTTATTTAATGTCTTTCATTCTTGTCAATGGAATATTCTCAACTCTGAGCAAATTAGTCTTTTCAACATGGCAGATCCGTTTTCGCAAGCGATTTCTGTGATTTCTTAGTTTAATGAAGTCTCTATAGGCCAACCAGGAAGTAGGATGAGACTTTGTTATCAGTATATAGATGTGCAATTTCCTAATGTGGTGGGAACACCACAAAAATCAGATCATGACCTTACAACCCAAAGCTAGGATTTGAATGGGTTTCACATTTGGCCTTGGTATCATAAAAAGAATGTTAGAAGTCAAAAAAGTGGCAAAGATGCAGAGTTCAGAATTTATTTTTACATTAACGAAATAGACCGTTGTATTGTTGTGTCTAGAAGGTTGTAGAAGTCATAATTGTCATCCCTGTAATTCAATTCAACTCCTATGACATTAAAAATTGGGTCTGCACCCATAACCATATTGGAGGTCTAGCGTTTAACAAAAGTGATCCCTTACTTAATTTAATGCTACAATAACTTTCATTTGTTGGAATTAAAGCAACCAAAGATACAAAAGACATCACATGTCCATGATATACAGTTTAACACATTTTGATCATCAAATTCTCAATTCTAACACTGTAAAATCGTTTAATTTGATATTAATTATATCCCCAGGTAGCCATTAGACATAGTTGGGCTTAAATTTCTCTTAACCCGGGCTAATTTGAAGTGTAGCATGCCCTTATTTTTTCCATATACAGTATATACTCAACGGTTTTTCTTCCTTTTCCCTGTCGACTAACAAATAACATAAACCAAGAAGCATTAAACTCCTTCAAACCTTGCTCTACAAATGCACTTTCTCCTCTCTGTCTAAACTCTAAACCATAACGTCAAACTGAGCAGAAATGTCGCCTTCTTGTTCACAATCGTGGCAGGCACCAATCTACTTCACCCTCTCAGCAGCAGTCTTGGCCTTCATGGCAATCTCAACAGCCATGCATCATACCAACACTGCAACCCCAGTAACTAATCCCACCACCTATCAGCTCTCTTTAAACGCCTCCAGAGCTCTTAGAAGATCAGGCTTCAACATCATTGCCACTCTTCTCCAGGTTTCGCCTGAAATCTTCATGTCTTCTCCAAACTCAACAATCTTTGCCATCAAAGATTCTGCCATCTCCAAAACCTCTTTCCCTCCCTGGCTCTCGAAAGATCTTCTTCAGTACCATACCTCTCCTCTCAAGCTTTCCATGAATGACCTCTTAAAGAAGCCTCAAGGTAGTTGCTTCCCAACCCTTCTTAATGGACAGAAGATTGCCATAACCAAGATTGGTGCAAAGAAAAGACTTTTGGAGATCAATCACGTCTTGGTGTCACATCCTGACATGATTCTTGAAGGACCCTTGTCAATTCATGGAGTTCTTCGGCCATTTTCATCTTTTAATGCTCAAGATTCTCTCCAGGGTTGGAATTACATGCAATCACCAATATGTGATTCCAATTGTAGACTAGTTTCTGATTCCAACGAATCAAAGAATGTAGTCGAATGGAGCCGAATTATCCGTTTGCTAAGCTCAAATGGTTTTGTTTCATTTGCGATTGGTTTGCATTCTGTTCTTGGTGGGATTCTTGAAGATCACATGAACCTAAATTCAACAACAATCTTCGCTCCACTAGAGTTCTTGTTTGTAGCATCTCCTTCTCCATTGCTAGACAGAATTGTGAGATTTCATATACTCCCTCAAAGATTTACTTACAAAGAACTTGATTCTTTGCCTGATAAAGCATTATTGAGAACAATAGTTGCCCATCAATATCTTGAGATCACTGCAGGCGTTAACTCTACCCAAGGATTGTGTGTTAATGGAGAACAGATCATTGCACCTGACATTTTTTGGTCCAAGAAGTTCGTGATTCATGGAATATCTCAAGCTTTAGGAGATGGCAGAGCTTCCTAATACATCAAGATAGCAGAGTCTCGCATCACTTAGAGCTGGTAATGACGTATAGAAGAGTGTGCTATTGTGTTAGTTTAGATTGTTAACTTTTCTTTGTTCCACGTATGATGTCTCAGATAGAATAGTTTTTATGTGTCTCACTTTGTAGATTTTAAGTGTATTCCTTTTGGATGGTTTATGTTACCTGTCTATGGCCTCAGCTCTGATTTTTTTACTTGGATTTGTTACGACACCTGATTGTTATAATAGTTGTAAGATTAAACTATGACGCTTCTTTTGATGGCTTAACATATACTATACAATCTTTAACTTCAACAAAATCGGTTCCCAGAATCCTCATATCCTATTCCTATGTCTAAATCAGGGAAATTCTATAGCAAATCTGGCAAATTTCGTGTAAGAGAAGTTTACTCAAGAATGTTGATTCTTCTATTGCTAATGGCCCGATAAACCTTAACGATTCACATATCCTTTAATTATGCGGAACCAAATGCATTGGACCAACTAGAAGATTATAATGGTGCAAACTGTTCGAATATTACTGGAGAGATACAGGTATTTTGCATGTTGGGACGATCACTCATGAAAGCATTTGAGTTTGATGAAGTTTGATCTATTGGTATAGGCTTCAGGCTATGCCATTGGGCTGAGGCTAAACAGTCAAAAGGTGCAGCCGTGGAATGGACTGATAGCATCTTTCTTTCTTTGATATTCTTAACTAGTAGTACCACTACCACTGCCTGCCATTATACTGCTACAAGAGAGACAGTATGAAGGCCGGAAAAGCACCAAAGTCCACCGCGTGTTAACCTCGGACATGGGGCCACTGCAATATCCAAGTTATCCTTGTTAACTAGAACTGTCATTGTTTTTGTGGCTACTTCCTGGCTGTATAATTGAAACCTCTCTCCAGCCAACAGCCTTTCCCCCATGGACAGTGACCCTTTATATGGTCCCATCTCTAGAGAAAACAGTACAAATATAACAAAAAAGTAAAGAAAAACACCATACCATTTTGAACATGGTTGATAACATATGGTTACCCAAAAATGTTTTCAAGTATGACCAGGGAACTCATGGTAGAAAATGTGGCATCAGTTTGAGGTGGAAATTGACAAGAATCAAACTTATTTGCATGAAAAGATAAAATATATAAGATCATATGTCTGAAAACCCACACAACATATAGGAATACGGGCAGAAACAAGAATCAATAGAAGTTTATGCCCATTTTGAAAGGAAAGCAAGTAGTGGCAAAACTTCAATCTATAACTACTGGGGAAAAAATCAAAAGTACCCCTCTTCCGGAGAAATCTAAAGATCTTAAAGAAGGCTACTACTCAAACACAGACAAAAGTGCGTGGAGAGTTACATTTTTTTGTCTTGTAAATGCCTGTGCTTTCTTGTTTGTATGGAACTTAAGTGCAGGATATCAAACTCCAGCACTCCACTTCCTACATTTTCTTTTTCACCAGCTCCCAAACTATCTTCAACATTTGTACATCAGTGTATAATTTTGAACGTAGAGAATGTGATGCAACATCACCAACAAAAATATCTATAAGTAAACACACAAATCTAAGTTCGTCAAGCCATTAACATGAATACAAGATTCAATTTTCAATTTAATCCTCTCACATTTATATTTTCTTACTTCTCAAACAATAATTAGAATGAGGCATCAGAAAGATTTATGCTATACTCACATAGTATAATCCACCAAAAGGGAAGCATGAAGTTTGTCACTTGAGTTAGAAATTGAACTTACCGCGGTACTTGACTGTGCACATACCCATATTCACAAAAGTGCTTGAAATTCAAATGCTGAAAATTCCAATTGCTAACTTAGTAAATACAACAGCGAGCAGTAAATTGATCCTAGCTCTGAAGAACCTAACTTGCTCTACTCCAAGCATGATTTTTATCATCAAAGAACATGCAGTATATTCAAATTTGCAAAGGCCACAATCAGCATAAATCAAATAACACTGCCATGAATTACAACTCACAGAAAATACACACTTTATTCTCATCAGGTTTTGATCAAGGCAAAATTATATTACAAATTCCCGAAAGTCAGTAGATACAATTTATGATGTCTAAAATACCATGTAAACCAATCTAGCTAATTCTATATTACAAAGTTAGGAAAATTAATTCATCAGCAACAGAGCATAAAATTCAATTGAACTCTACAACAAATAACGAATGGAATGAAATTCAAACACTCAAGCAGAAACTCTAGTTGTTCTCATTAGAATCCGAGTTATATTAGACCCAATAAACTTAATATTAACCGCATCAACAAAACTTGACTTTCTAAATAAACCCACGATCTCCTTGAGCTCTTGAGCCCCACATTGCTCCACAAGAACCACACACAACCCATCATTCTTAACCGTCCTCTCCATCTCGTCAGCAAACCGTGATGGAAACAACGCCTCCGTCAAATGCGCCGTAAACGCCACGTCAAACACCTCATCAAAAAAGGGCAAATTATGCGGGTCGGCCCTGCTCACTAACGGCAACGAATCCATCAACTCGACGCCGGTGACATCAGCCACTCCGATTTTGTTCAGAGCCATAACCTCGTGGCCCGCACCGGCCGAGATGCAGAGGACTTTGGAGTGGTTAAAGAGAAGGCTGAGGCGTTGGAGTTGTTGAAAGTGTAGCATGTGAGCGTGGACTTGTTGGTTCCATGACTTGGTGGACCAGAGACGTTGGTTTTTTTTTTCGATTGGAAGGTGTTGACGGTGCGACGAGTCGCAAGATGATTTTGGGAATTTGACCATGGGTGTTTTTTCGATGATGCAAGTTTCAGGGGTTTGGAGGATCATCATTAATAGAGTAAATGTTGCTACGGTTATCGCTCCGAACGAGATTTTTCTTAAGATATCCTCTATGTGTTTCTCCATCTTCTTCCTCAGATCGCAAGCTTTTGTTTTTCTCTCTTATGTTTCTGCCTTCTGGCTGAGCCAACGATGCCACCGCTGATCTGCCAATTTTTATTTTATTTATAATTTTATTAAAAAGTAATATTTAAATTAATAAAATAAACTAAAAAATGTCTTAAAAAATTAATATAAATTATAAAGTTCGAATTTAATTTTATGTTGGGATAAAAATTGGTTTATAATCCATCTTATAATTTTTTTCTCGCAATCGCTAACTCATAATTAATTAGCTCGTAATTAAACAGATAAAACTTATTTACGAATTAACCAATTATAAATTACTATGTCAAGATTGTAAGAGAAAGCTATGAGATTGAATTATAAATATAGTATATTAAAAATATATTTTAAAATAATTTTATCAATACCGCTAGGTGCGTTTGGTTCATTATTTTGGATAGGATTTTAGGGATAGGATTGGATAGTTAGATAGGGTTATGATTACGAGAATAGGATTTATAGAATATATGTTTGGTTGAGTATTTTGACTTGAATATTTGATTAATATATTTTTTATAAATGATTTATTAATATAATATTTTGTTGAATTTATAAAATATGTGTTTGGGGAGCTGAGGTGGGTTGACGGTGGCTGGGGAGCTGAGGTGGGTTCACGGCTATGAAGATTCAGTAGTTGAGGTGGGTTGATGGTTGGGGAGCTGCAGTAACTGAGGTGGGTTCACGGTTGTGAAGATGCAATAGCTGAGGTGGGTTCACGGTTGGGGAGCTGCAGTAGCTGAGGTGGGTTCATGGCTGTTGCGATGCAGTAGCTGAGGTGGGTTCACGGCTGTGAAGCTGTAGTAAAGAAAATGGTGAAGAATGCAGTGAAGAAAATGGTCCACGCCTCAGTCAGATGCAGAGCAGAAAATGGTGAAGCAGTGACGAAAAGTGAAGAAAGGTGAAGAATGCAGTGAAGAAAATGGTTTAATTTTCTCAGTCAGATGCAGCGCAGAAAATGGTGAAGCAGTCACGAAAAGTGAAGAAAATGGTTCACGCAGTGCAGAAAATAGTTCACACAGTGCAGAAAAATGAATAAAAAAAAAAATTGAAACGGTCAAAATCTGAGAAAGCTGTGAAGATGCAGACAATTCAAACTTATGTCAGAATCATGTTTTGGGGATAAAGTTTTGAAAAAAATAAACTAAATATTATTTTAATAATCCGATCCAGAATAGGAATAAAAATAATCAACCAAACATGCTGGCTACTCTTTTCCCATAATTATTCTAAATTAAGAGGTAGTTATAATTTATTTATTAATTTTTAATGTGAATTACATAAGAGAAGGTAATAAGTAGTGTGACTGTACCTACCGTACGTAGGCTAAACCTTAAAATCAAATAAATTTAACTCTATTAAATATAAATAATATTTCGAGAAGCAAATGGCTCTAAATCCTCCTCTAATTACAAAAATTTTAACCATTCATCGTTCAACTTCTCCACGTCCTCTTCCCGCAAAAATCTTACAGCTCGGTTCGGCGTCTGGACTAACATTTCAATTTCCCGCGCCCCAGTTCGAATTTCTTAAACAGATTTCTTCTCTATCATCGTCCCTTTATTTGGGTGACTATTATGACGAACATGAACTCTATTTCCCCAGTTTCAATCCTGACTCGTTTTACGCGTCTCTTATCGATGATTCAACCCACCGGACAAACTTAAATCAAATTCATGCCCGGTTGCTGGTATCTGGATTGTGTAATAGCGGTTTCTTAATTACGAAACTCATTAATGTGAGCTCAAATCTTGGAGAAATTCGCTATGCGAGAGAACTGTTTGATGAATTTACTGAACCAGATGTCTTTTTGTGGAATGCTATTATTAGGTGCTATTCCAGACACAATTTCTTTAGTGAAGCTGTTGAAATGTATTTAAAAATGCAAGTGGCGTGGGTGAGTCCCGATGGCTTTACCCTCCCACTTGTGCTCAAAGCTTGCAGTGGCTTGCCTTCGCGTGAAATAGGTCGAAGAGTACATGGGCAGATATTTAGGCATGGGTTTGAGTCGGATATATTTGTGCAGAATGGTCTTGTGGCATTTTATGCTAAATGCGGCCAAATTGTGTGTGCTAGGACTGTGTTTGATTGGTTGCGTGATAGAACAGTTGTTTCTTGGACTTCAATCATTTCTGGATATGCACAGAACGCACAGCCTACGGAAGCTCTGAGAATTTTTAGTCAAATGAGGAAAATGAGTGTGGAACCTGACTGGATCGCTCTTGTGAGTATTTTGAGGGCTTACACTGATGTAGGAGACGTGGAGCAAGGGAAATCTGTTCATGGTTTTGTGACTAAATTGGGTCTTGAACTTGAACCTGATTTGCTTATTTCACTTACAGCCATGTATGCTAAATGTGGGCAAGTGACAATTGCAAGATCATTGTTTGATAGGGTGAAGATTCCAAATTTAATTTTGTGGAATGCTATGATTTCTGGTTATGCAAAGAATGGTAAAGCAGAGGAAGCGGTGGAGTTATTCCGTGAGATGATCTCAAAGAATATAAGAACAGATTCTATCACTTTTAGTTCTGCTATCTTAGCTTGTGCTCAAATGGGATCTCTTGCATTAGCAAAATGGATGGAGGATTATATCAGCAAGAGTGAGTATAGAAATGATATTATTGTTAATACTGCCGTCATTGACATGTATGCAAAATGTGGAAGTGTAGATTTGGCTCGCCAGGTTTTTGATAGAACAAATGATAAAGACATTGTTATGTGGAGTGCAATGATTGTGGGATATGGATTGCATGGTCGAGGCCGAGAAGCAATTAATCTTTACCATGCGATGAGGAAATCTGGGGTTCACCCAAATGATGTCACCTTTGTTGGTCTCCTCACAGCGTGCAACCATTCAGGTCTTGTAGAAGAAGGATGGAAGTTTTTCCACAGCATGAGAGATTATGGGATTGAGCCTCGCCACCAGCATTATGCTTGTGTCGTCGATCTTCTCGGTCGTGCAGGCTACTCGACTCGGGCTCATGATTTTATTATGAACATGCCTATTGAACCAGGAACTTCTGTATGGGGTGCACTTCTGAGTGCTTGCAAGATCCACCGCAATGTAGCATTGGGAGAATATGCTGCAAAACGGCTTTTCTCATTAGATCCATACAATACAGGGCACTATGTGCAGCTGTCAAATCTCTATGCTTCAGCACGCTTGTGGAATCATGTTTCAAAGGTACGAGTATTGATGAAGGAAAAGGGACTAACTAAAGACCTGGGGTATAGTCTAATTGAGATTAATGGAAAGCTCCAGGCATTTCGAGTGGGGGATAAGTCACATCCAAGATATAAGGAGATTCTTGAGGAAGTTGAGATATTGGAGAGAAGGCTGAAGGAAGCTGGATTTGTTCCACATACAGAATCTGTTTTGCATGATTTGAATTATGAAGAGACGGAGGAGACACTTTGTAATCATAGTGAGAGGATAGCAATAGCTTATGGGCTCATTAGTACAGCTCCTGGAACTACTCTTAGAATAACAAAGAATCTGCGGGCATGTGTAAACTGTCATTCAGCCACTAAGTTTATATCAAAGCTTGTAAACAGGGAGATTATTGTAAGGGATGCAAATCGTTTTCATCATTTTAAGGATGGAATTTGTTCTTGTGGAGACTATTGGTGAAGAGGGTGCTTAGCTTTTCAGATGTATTTTGAGTTTCTGGTTCAGTTCAAGTCAAAATTTGTGGAGGTAGCTTATTTATGTTCAACTCACAAAATGTGAATTTGTTATAAAAATGATATAAACAAGGCTAAATGATATTACTAGTTGGCTTTTAGTTTGTCTTAATGTTAATTTTAAATTTTAAATATTTTTTTTTTCTGCTGTAGCAAAAGCTAATATGTGGGCACTCAAAAAATTATTTCATTCTTGAATGCTTTGGCGAACACCAAATCAACAACCTTTTATTTTTTTCAGTCCACTAGTCCTGCTCTTGGTCTTGTAATTCAAACTTATTACATTATTATTTTTCTGCAAATTCAGTTCTCTGTTATTCAGTTTTGTTTTTTCTCTGTTTTTTCCCCTATAAAGGAGTAGCTTTTTAGATCTGCAAACTATGGGACATCAAAGCACTCAAACTGGGTATATGTACTCTCTCTTCTGACATGGTAAGGATTATGTGCAGGATCAAAAACTACCTGGATGCGTCGGCTTATATTACCATGGTGGGATCTCAGCGTGGCCAAATGGATGCTATAGCTCTGCTACTAAGCTAGCCCATTGTTGGCATTTTCTGCTAGTTTGATTCTTCTGTCAAGGTAATTTTCTAAGCTGTCTTTCGCTTACTTTTAGATACAATTTTGTAATTATATGTCACTCTTCTATAATATTGCTGGTGTTTATAGAAATCGCCTATCTGTCAACTGAAATTTCTGCAAATGTTGTGGCTCAATAATTAGGAAAATGTTGTATTGCAGACAGCATTACAAAGCTTGGGTATTTTTTTGATACTGTGAAAGTAGTTTCACTTAGATTTTATTTTCTGCTCTCAGGACTAAAAGAATGATTTATGTGAGATTTTATTTTCAAATTTGATGTTTACAGTGAGTTCATTGCATCTAGAACAATAGTATTGCTTCAAGCGCTTGATAATGTCAGGTCATTGTTGCATTAATTGGAGGTTTCATCTGGCTATACCCACTATCAAGCCACCTCTGTCAAAAATTTTAACATAAGTTTTGAAATAAGGCTTGAATTTCTTTCAGAAATGTATACATTATCCAAGTTTGTTATGTTGACTGATCAAAACGGATGCAATTACTCTGTGGAGTGCTATAAATACCTGCCTTATGACATGCTATGATACCTCCACTTGTTCTTGGTTCCTCGAAAGTGAATCTAATGTATGCAGATAGTAAAGCATTTTTGAAGTTGAAACATGATACCAGATATTTATTCTGTCTAATTTACTTGATTTATTTGATGCTACTGGATTGGAAAAAGTTGACATAGGGCCAATCAAAAGTATTGAATAGGTTAAATTTAGTACTTATTTATACTTATATAGTCATAAAAATGCAGCGTCTGAGATCAATAACAGGATAAGTTTTTTCCTTCTCTTTTTCTTCTTCATCGGTTTTTCCCCATAAAAATTCCTTATCCTGACCATTTTCTAAAATTGTATTTCAGAGATGGAAGGGAGAATTGTAGGACAAATGCAAGTTGCAGTGACTAACACCGGAAATAGCCGAATCTCAGACAAAAATTGGAAGTTCATTTTAAGATCCCGAAGGTGGTGTCCCAGGATGTGCAATTATGAGAATGCGATTCATCTTTTAAGGTTTCTTCCTTGCAATAAGTGACTTATTAGTTCAAATGCAGTGGAAAATTCCATGAAGGATTGGTCTAGGGCATCTCCAGAGCAATTTCTTTATATATGAATTTATAATATGCTTTATCCTCTTATGGTTAACCCTTTTCTTGGCAAACGAACTCAACCAACTTCTCCTAAATTCCTTTTTTTTAAAATTGCTGAAGTCCCACTTAGATGCCTCGACTTCGAAAAACATGTAGCTGATTATTCAATACAAATGATGAACAAGCTAAATTAAGTACACCTTATCAAAGTTAAGCTCCAAGTTGCACATTAATGTTGGTTGGTTTCTAATTAAGTAGCACCAAATAATCACTTTTGTCATATCGGTTTAAATTAGTAGTTGGTAAACAAATTGAAACTAATAAATGTCTCAAGGGCTTAAATTAAAAGCTATACACAAAATTGTAAATAATAATCATACTGAGAACCTATAGGAAAATTGTTAATTCATCTCCCAAATTAATTATAAAGTCATGTTATCGGTCTCCCATATTTTATCTCTTTTAGATCTTAATTAATATTAAATTTTTAATTACAGTTGTATCCCTTATTAAAATTACTATGGGTGTACATATTTAAAAATTTTATTTCTTCTTTTAATCATAAACCCTAATTAAATAAACCTTAATTTTATTTTCAAACTATGACAATGAGATTTATGCAATTGAAAGAGTTTGATTAAGATCTTGTAAGTACAATAGAGATGAAATTTAGGCGTTGCGATTTGTTAAATTTTTCTTTACATTTTTTTTTTTTCACTTCTCCAAAATTTAAAAGTTAGTTTGATGCATTCAAATTTCGTATTTAGTATTTGTACAATCTTAGAAGTAAAAACATATGTGAAGGGATTTGATCCATGAACATTACATTTAAAATAAGAAGCATAAAAAGTACTAAGATCGAATATAAATAAAAGGATATTTTAGGAACCAAGTGGGGTTTATAAAGACATTTGCATATACTAAAATATTTTAATACGGTAAAAATAAAAAAATGAGAGCCAATAACATCACTCTTAATTATAATTAACAATTAATCTTTGATAATTATAAATTAACATTAACCTAGGGTTACTCGTTAATCACATTCGTGAATTAAATAGTAATTACAAATTAATGTTAAACAAACTCAAACGCCGTTCTCGTTCTCCTTTTGAAATATTCCAACCCTAGTATAACCTTCACACAACACAGACTGAAGACTATCTACACAACACAACACTGGAATGGAAACAAGATCTGCCAAGCGAAGAAAGCTTTGGTTTGTTGAGAATAAAATTGAGGTTAACAACAATGGCATCGACAGAATCAGTGATCTCCCCGACGTTATTCTTCATCAAATACTCTTCCTCCTCCCCATCAAATCCATCGCTCAAACCAGCACTTTATCAAAACGATGGAGATACCTCTGGTCCTCATTCCCTGACCTCGACTTTAACTCCATTAACCCACTTGGCATTTCTCCTAACGCTTCCATCACTTCAAAAAGGCCAAGCGTTTTATCTTTTAAAGAGATGAATTTGATTTCCCAGGTTTTAGCTCTCCGTGATAAGCATTCCGATATAAGGACCCTTCGTTTTCGTGCTCATTTGAGTTTTTCTTGTCTAAATGGCTTGATTCGTCGGGCTGTAAGGCACAATGTTCGTGAACTTGATATTGAGGTCGCTACTGATGATTACTTTAACTTGCCACGTTGTGTAGTATATAGTGAATCTTTACGAGCTTTCAAGTTGAAATCACGTTATCGTGGATTCAGATTACCTCCTTTATCAATGATGAAAGACGGGTTTCGATCACTCCATACTTTGTCACTTTCTCTTGTCATTTTATACACCGAACCCTATCTTCTTGATTTGTTTACGGATTCGTCATTTCCCCACCTAAAAAAACTGAATCTTGATGCTTGTTCTGGGTTAAAGAATCTTAAGGTTAGTTGTCGAGCCCTTGAAGATTTAACCTTAGAGAACTGTATTCAGCTTCATGGTTTGGATATTTTTGGTACAAACTTAGAGAGATTGAGAGTCGCGAGTTGTTTTGATCCTTACTGTGATAAGAGTTGGGTGAAGATTAATGCCCAGAAACTCAACAGTCTCCGGTGGGAATACAATGCTATTACTGGAAGTAGTTCTCTAGAGAATTTAACATCTTTGCATGAGGCCTCCATTGGATTTATCGTACGTCATGAAGACGTGACAACTGCAAAGCTTCAGAGCGTGTCCAATTTCTTATCAGGTCTTTCCCATGTCCATTGTTTAACACTTGAAAGCCCTTGCATCGAGGTACTTCTTTATTAATTATTATTTGTTTGTACGTCAATATTTGTTTTATTCAGTTGATTCATGAGAAATCAAATTAGTACTACTGCATAATTTAATCAATTGACGACAATAATTTCTTTTTGACTACGAAAATCTTCTTGAATTCAGGTAAGTCAACATTCAGTTTTAACATTTAACTCCTTGATGATCAAAAGGTATCTATGTTAACCTTGAGAAGAACTACAATTAGTGATTATTTAATGGCAAATGACCATATTTTTTTTTCGGAAATTAAAACCGTATACTACTTTTATTATAAATTTGAATCTAAAATTTTCGGTATTGGAACTTCCGTATTATTTGATACACTAATTACTGTGGGAAGATTAACAATATTACTCTTCTATTTTTGTATGGAGTATTTGGTTGAGTTTTTCTTTCCTTTAACAACCATCCAATTGCAGCAATTCTGGTACGTCTTAATTGTGCAGCATTGTACATTGTAGCCTAGTTTCACATGAGAATACTGAATGTAAGATAATTGCTTTCAATTTGCTAAATATAAATTTAGGTGTGCCTATATAAGATAAAGTTGTTTCCTTTGTTTATTTCCAGTTCTTTAGTTAAATAGCTCGTGAACTAGTGATATTAATTTTAATCTCTTTTTAAACTTATATATTATTCAGCAGATCCTCTCGAACAAGAATTATTTAGCGCATCTGCAGCCATTTGACAATCTCAAATCTTTGGAGTTGCATACTGGCTTCAACAAAAATAATGTCCACGGCTTAGCATGCCTTTTCAGGAGCACTATCACACTTCACACTCTCATTCTCAAGATTATTAATGATTATAAGATTGAAAGGCGAGTAAGTACCAGAAATTACTTTATAATTTGTTCACTATGCGATACGTAACATACATAGTTTTCAATTTGAGTTAAATTCAAGTTTTAACAGTTGCTTAATTTCACTACTGTGTTCTCTTTTCAGCAATGGAATAGGGACTTGTGGGACTTGTATACTTCAGAAGAAGAACAATATTGGCAATCTCAAACGCAAACGTTGAAGCCTTTCTTAAGCCACCTTAATGTGGTAGAGATCCATGGGTTCCTAGAATGCGAGAATGAAGTTAGTCTAGCAAAGTTTTTGCTCAAGAATGGAAAGGCCTTGCAAGAAATGACTCTTTGCACAGGACACTGCAATTACAGAGATTCTCTGAGACGACAAAAGATTAGGTCTCAGATGATGGGTTTCTCCTGGGCTTCTTCTAACGCTAAAGTTGCATTTCACTGATCTCCCAAGAGGCTTATATTGTCCTCAAGTCACTTGCTAACTTGTTAATAAAACTGTTCAAGTGCACAAAACATTCTTTTTGCATTTCTCTCTGTGTGGCAGATATCATTATATGTAGATTGAATTGAGCCAATGGGTGTTCAAGAGCTTTATTGATTCCAGCTAGTAGAAAAATATTATAATAATGAAATTGGGTTGTTGTCAAACTCATAATTTTTTGCATTATTTAGTACTTAGCTTTATTAATATTGACGTACTCTAGCTTGTAACTCAGTTCTACATAGTGGGCAATTGATTAAACAGGATTATGCGGTTTTGCATGGTGTTCAACAATTGCTTAGAAGAGATTAATGGGCCATAATCATTATCGGGTAAGACTTAAAAAAGTGTGGTGACATGCCAGACAGGGCTCATCTTTGTGTAAAAATATGCTTAGTACCAAGCTAGCTGGTTCTCACCTTAATCCTTTTTTGTCCGTATAATTTACAACATATTTCTCATATTGTAATCATAATTAGTCATCTAGTTTGACTCGCAGTTTCCAATTAGTTTATTTCAAATACATTATAAAGAGTTAATAGTTATTTTGTCTGACAATTGCTCAACACCTTTGGAACTCAATTATGAGGTATCGATGTGATATGAAATTGGATAACTTATTATATATTATCCTCAAGGACTTGGCTGCTTAAAGGTTTGTCTTAGGATGGTACTGATTAACTTTAATTCTCATGTAGTTATTAATTAATTGGGTTTTAATTCTCATAGATTTTATTAAGACAAAAAGTTCAAACTTTATGTTGCATATGTGTCGCTATTTCAGAGAAAGGCACACAGTATTTTGTTGCTCTAAAGTAGTCCCATGTCTGATGTCTCTGTGATGTATTTGCTGTTTGGGGCACATAAAATAAATTAAACCATATGCATAGATAGAGTCAGAGATTCAGAAGATATCCAAATGGACAAAGTGACCTGGAATTAACAAGAAGCTTTTTTATTAGAACAACGAACTGATTTATATGTGACTAAACAACATTGAGAGGGATTAAACGATTCCTTAGTTTTTCCGCAACACAGTTCATGTTCAAATTCCACTAGTTTTACCGAAACCTATGACGCATAAAAGTTGCAAAGCCCTCTCTTTATTCAGTTCTCAGTGCACCACTGCTTATGACCCGGCACCCATTTCGGACATTTAGGACTAAAATAACTTGACACAACCCTCGAGTTCAAAAGTTCAACAATGGGAGCATATTTTACACACCGTGGTGTCTTGTACTGGTTTATTGATGCACCCTCACTAAGAGCAAAGTCCATGAGCTTGTCAAATGTCCCACTCTCCACAATCTTGATCTCCAGAGGCCCAATTGACTTATCTGAAACTCGGCCTTGGCGGTAGACGCTGTTCAGTGATTCCTCAATGGTGAGGCAACAATCCTCAAAGACTGAAGGAGGAATTTCGCCGCTAGGGCTAACTTCCCAATATAGCACATAGTGACCAGGGATGTTTGATGTATCAGCATAACTTGTATACTCTATGAGAGATGCATCAAATGATGAAAGATGATTTGCCGCATTCTTCACTGCATTTTGTAGCTCAACTTCATCTGTTTTATCAGAATCAATGCTCAAAACAACATTTTGTCGGCATACAAAGTTAAATTGAGGGGCTTTGTTCTTGAATCCGGCCACTTTGAGTATGTCTCCAACTCGATAACGGTAGAGCCCTACAAAATCAAAAGTAAATATCGTGTATGTATTCTCAAATCCTACACATATTTGAGTTGAACGATTCTATTAAACAATATTATTTGAAGATTAAAACTGTGCCACGTAATAAAGATAATCTTGAAACTTACCGGCATAAGTGGTTACCACAAGCTCGTACTCTTGTCCCAGTTTAACATCAACGAGGTCAGCCAATTGTTCACCAAATTCTTTCTCATTGAGGGATGTTGGGCCAGTGATGAATCCATCATTATTTCTGTTGACAGGCAAGAACTCAAAATATGCCATGGTGGGAATGAGGGTATAGGCCACTTCACTTGGCTTGCACATAGGATTAAGGTTAAGGCCAAAGTAGCACTCTGAAGAAGCATACATGGTGCAAACAGTGGGAAGGCCATTGCTATAATAATCAAGTATAGGAATATACTGAGACATAGTTCCTGTCACAATAACATCAATATATTTGGTGTTAGGCCATAACCTTGTTATTATACCTTTCCATGACTCTTTACCACATTCCGCCTCAATAAAATCAGCAAGCTTGGGGTTTGGTTTGAGAATTTTTAAGACAGCCTCTCTAACTGATGGATCAGTGATTTTGGGGTCTATGGTTCCAGTTCTAATGTCATTAGAAAGAAGAGGCCAGTGCTTTTCAAGGAATCGGATGGCTCGAATGAAGCCAGAAGCAAAAACAGCACCTACACGAAGGACTTGATTGTTAAGATAAAGGCCACAGAGCAACTGAGAATACATACTCTGGTAAGAATCTTGGCAGAGAATAGTTTCGTTTGGGCTAGTGTAGTTGGTGTATGGATCATAAGGCCTGTCCTTAAAATATGCGCTTTTGTAGTAACTGGTTAAAACTGGACGAGCTACAAGTCCTCCTGGGGTCTTAGCTTCTGCTTTTATGAACAAAAAGTACATCCCTTTCCCTTTGTCCAAACCAGCAACAAACTGGTCCATCACTGGCATCAAAAGGCTATAAAGCAACGATCTTCTCCCCAGTTCTTCTTGGATTGTAGGCATCAGTTTCCTCTCTCCACCAGATGTTCCAGAGCTACATATATCAAACAAACCCACTAAACAAAGTAAGAATTTCAAAAACCATTGAAAAGGATTAAGAAAAGAATTGGAGAAGCTTATATATATATATATGCATATGTACATAAGTTCACCTAGTCAAGAACTCTGATATGGGTTGTGAGCAAAGAATTGGAGAGGCATCGCCATTGGCAATACGATCAATATCTGGCTTCAGATCCTCATAAACCACAACAGGCATCACTTTCTTGAAAGTTTCTCTGTCTACATGCCCATTAAGGCCATGTCGTTTCAAGTACTCAACATTGGCACTACGAGAAAGGATTTCAGCAAGAACACGCTCTTGCACTGCATCAGCATGAATCGTAACATTCTCAATAAACTGAAAAGCTTTCTTATTTTGATCAGAAATCAAACTATCATGATTATCAATTCCCTTAACAGAGTTTTCAGGAGCTTCTGGCATGGCTTCGACACAGAAAGTGAAACTAAGGAAGATTTAAAGAGAACCAGTAAAAGAAATGAGTAGTGCTAATTATGGCACACAGAAAATGAAGCGAGGCCAATAGATATATATATATATATATATATATATATAGACCAGTGAAGGTGGCTGTACCCCACTAGCCTATACAAAATGTGTTACTCTACCAACAAAACGTAAATTAGTGCTAATTAATCCCACATTTACTTTTCATTAATTTAATTACACATTCTAACTTTTGTACGTTAGGTGATATAGGAGATATTTCATACATTTATCAGTCAATTATATTATGTGCTTGGTAGCAAAGTTTTTTGCTCAAGAATGGAAGGCCTTGCAAGAAATGACTCTTTGCACAGGACACCAATTACAGAGATTCCTGAGACGACAAAAGATTAGGTCTCAGATGATGGGTTTCTCCTGGGCTTCTTCTAACGCTAAAGTTGCATTTCACTGATCTCCCAAGAGGCTTATATTGTCCTCAAGTCACTTGCTAACTTGTTAAAAACTGTTCAAGTGCACAAAAATTCTTTTTGCATTTCTCTCTGTGTGGCAGATATCATATATGTAGATTGAATTGAGCCAATGGGTGTTCAAGACTTTATTGATTCCACTAGTAGAAAAATATTATAATAATGAATTGGGTTGTTGTCAAACTCATAATTTTTTGCATATTTAGTACTTAGCTTTATTAATTTGACGTACTCTAGCTTGTAACTCAGTTCTACTTAGTGGGCAATTGATTAAACAGGATTATGCGGTTTTGCATGGTGTTCAACAATTGCTTAGAAGAGATTTGGGCCATAATCATTATCGGGTAAACTTAAAAAAGTGTGGTGACATGCCAGACAGGGCTCATCTTTGTGTAAATATGCTTAGTACAAGCTAGCTGGTTCTCACCTTAATCCTTTTTTGTCCGTATAATTTACAACTTTTCTCATATTGTAATCATAATTAGTCATCTAGTTTGACTCGCAGTTTCCAATTAGTTTATTTCAAATACATTATAAAGAGTTAATAGTTATTTGTCTGACAATTGCTCAACACCTTTGGAACTCAATTATGAGGTATCGATGTGATATGAAATTGGATAACTTATTATATTTATCCTCAAGGACTTGGCTGCTTAAGGTTTGTCTTAGGATGTACTGATTAACTTTAATTCTCATGTTTAATTAATATTGGGTTTTAATTCCATCGATTTTATTAAGACAAAAAGTTCAAACTTTATGTTGCATATGTGTCGCTATTTCAGAGAAAGGCACACAGTATTTTGTTGCTCTAAAGTAGTCCCAGTGTGATGTCTCTGTGATGATTTGCTGTTTGGGGCACATAAATAAATTAAACCATATGCATAGAGAGTCAGAGATTCAGAAGATATCCAATGGACAAAGTGACCTGGAATTAACAAGAACTTTTTTATTAGAACAACAACTGATTTTATGTGACTAACAACATTGAGAGGGATTAACGATTATCGAATATAAATAAAAGGATATTTTAGTAACCAAGTGGGGTTTATAAAGACATTTGCATATACTAAAATATTTTAATACGGTAAAAATAAAAAAATGAGAGCCAATAACATCACTCTTAATTATAATTAACAATTAATCTTTGATAATTATAAATTAACATTAACCTAGGGTTACTCGTTTATCACATTCGTGAATTAAATAGTAATTACAAATTAATGTTAAACAAACTCAAACGCCGTTCTCGTTCTCCTTTTGAAATATTCCAACCCTAGTATAACCTTCACACAACACAGACTGAAGACTATCTACACAACACAACACTGGAATGGAAACAAGATCTGCAAAGCGAAGAAAGCTTTGGTTTGTTGAGAATAAAATTGAGGTTAACAACAATGGCATCGACAGAATCAGTGATCTCCCCGACGTTATTCTTCATCAAATACTCTTCCTCCTCCCCATCAAATCCATCGCTCAAACCAGCACTTTATCAAAACGATGGAGATACCTCTGGTCCTCATTCCCTGACCTCGACTTTAACTCCATTAACCCACTTGGCATTTCTCCTAACGCTTCCATCACTTCAAAAAGGCCAAGCGTTTTATCTTTTAAAGAGATGAATTTGATTTCCCAGGTTTTAGCTCTCCGTGATAAGCATTCCGATATAAGGACCCTTCGTTTTCGTGCTCATTTGAGTTTTTCTTGTCTAAATGGCTTGATTCGTCGGGCTGTAAGGCACAATGTTCGTGAACTTGATATTGAGGTCGCTACTGATGATTACTTTAACTTGCCACGTTGTGTAGTATATAGTGAATCTTTACGAGCTTTCAAGTTGAAATCACGTTATCGTGGATTCAGATTACCTCCTTTATCAATGATGAAAGACGGGTTTCGATCACTCCATACTTTGTCACTTTCTCTTGTCATTTTATACACCGAACCCTATCTTCTTGATTTGTTTACGGATTCGTCATTTCCCCACCTAAAAAAACTGAATCTTGATGCTTGTTCTGGGTTAAAGAATCTTAAGGTTAGTTGTCGAGCCCTTGAAGATTTAACCTTAGAGAACTGTATTCAGCTTCATGGTTTGGATATTTTTGGTACAAACTTAGAGAGATTGAGAGTCGCGAGTTGTTTTGATCCTTACTGTGATAAGAGTTGGGTGAAGATTAATGCCCAGAAACTCAACAGTCTCCGGTGGGAATACAATGCTATTACTGGAAGTAGTTCTCTAGAGAATTTAACATCTTTGCATGAGGCCTCCATTGGATTTATCGTACGTCATGAAGACGTGACAACTGCAAAGCTTCAGAGCGTGTCCAATTTCTTATCAGGTCTTTCCCATGTCCATTGTTTAACACTTGAAAGCCCTTGCATCGAGGTACTTCTTTATTAATTATTATTTGTTTGTACGTCAATATTTGTTTTATTCAGTTGATTCATGAGAAATCAAATTAGTACTACTGCATAATTTAATCAATTGACGACAATAATTTCTTTTTGACTACGAAAATCTTCTTGAATTCAGGTAAGTCAACATTCAGTTTTAACATTTAACTCCTTGATGATCAAAAGGTATCTATGTTAACCTTGAGAAGAACTACAATTAGTGATTATTTAATGGCAAATGACCATATTTTTTTTTCGGAAATTAAAACCGTATACTACTTTTATTATAAATTTGAATCTAAAATTTTCGGTATTGGAACTTCCGTATTATTTGATACACTAATTACTGTGGGAAGATTAACAATATTACTCTTCTATTTTTGTATGGAGTATTTGGTTGAGTTTTTCTTTCCTTTAACAACCATCCAATTGCAGCAATTCTGGTACGTCTTAATTGTGCAGCATTGTACATTGTAGCCTAGTTTCACATGAGAATACTGAATGTAAGATAATTGCTTTCAATTTGCTAAATATAAATTTAGGTGTGCCTATATAAGATAAAGTTGTTTCCTTTGTTTATTTCCAGTTCTTTAGTTAAATAGCTCGTGAACTAGTGATATTAATTTTAATCTCTTTTTAAACTTATATATTATTCAGCAGATCCTCTCGAACAAGAATTATTTAGCGCATCTGCAGCCATTTGACAATCTCAAATCTTTGGAGTTGCATACTGGCTTCAACAAAAATAATGTCCACGGCTTAGCATGCCTTTTCAGGAGCACTATCACACTTCACACTCTCATTCTCAAGATTATTAATGATTATAAGATTGAAAGGCGAGTAAGTACCAGAAATTACTTTATAATTTGTTCACTATGCGATACGTAACATACATAGTTTTCAATTTGAGTTAAATTCAAGTTTTAACAGTTGCTTAATTTCACTACTGTGTTCTCTTTTCAGCAATGGAATAGGGACTTGTGGGACTTGTATACTTCAGAAGAAGAACAATATTGGCAATCTCAAACGCAAACGTTGAAGCCTTTCTTAAGCCACCTTAATGTGGTAGAGATCCATGGGTTCCTAGAATGCGAGAATGAAGTTAGTCTAGCAAAGTTTTTGCTCAAGAATGGAAAGGCCTTGCAAGAAATGACTCTTTGCACAGGACACTGCAATTACAGAGATTCTCTGAGACGACAAAAGATTAGGTCTCAGATGATGGGTTTCTCCTGGGCTTCTTCTAACGCTAAAGTTGCATTTCACTGATCTCCCAAGAGGCTTATATTGTCCTCAAGTCACTTGCTAACTTGTTAATAAAACTGTTCAAGTGCACAAAACATTCTTTTTGCATTTCTCTCTGTGTGGCAGATATCATTATATGTAGATTGAATTGAGCCAATGGGTGTTCAAGAGCTTTATTGATTCCAGCTAGTAGAAAAATATTATAATAATGAAATTGGGTTGTTGTCAAACTCATAATTTTTTGCATTATTTAGTACTTAGCTTTATTAATATTGACGTACTCTAGCTTGTAACTCAGTTCTACATAGTGGGCAATTGATTAAACAGGATTATGCGGTTTTGCATGGTGTTCAACAATTGCTTAGAAGAGATTAATGGGCCATAATCATTATCGGGTAAGACTTAAAAAAGTGTGGTGACATGCCAGACAGGGCTCATCTTTGTGTAAAAATATGCTTAGTACCAAGCTAGCTGGTTCTCACCTTAATCCTTTTTTGTCCGTATAATTTACAACATATTTCTCATATTGTAATCATAATTAGTCATCTAGTTTGACTCGCAGTTTCCAATTAGTTTATTTCAAATACATTATAAAGAGTTAATAGTTATTTTGTCTGACAATTGCTCAACACCTTTGGAACTCAATTATGAGGTATCGATGTGATATGAAATTGGATAACTTATTATATATTATCCTCAAGGACTTGGCTGCTTAAAGGTTTGTCTTAGGATGGTACTGATTAACTTTAATTCTCATGTAGTTATTAATTAATTGGGTTTTAATTCTCATAGATTTTATTAAGACAAAAAGTTCAAACTTTATGTTGCATATGTGTCGCTATTTCAGAGAAAGGCACACAGTATTTTGTTGCTCTAAAGTAGTCCCATGTCTGATGTCTCTGTGATGTATTTGCTGTTTGGGGCACATAA